ATATGTATTAAAGAATGAGTCGTCTTACAATCTGAGAGTATGCGTTATGGAATTAATTAAAAACCAAATTGTTGTTTATGAATATTTCGTTTCTTTCCAACAATTCCACATATCCCCTAAAATGTTGAACTAGATACACTGAGACTAAAGAGCAAAGAAAATGACACATTTTTAATCAGAGAGATCAGTTTCATTTGCATATATGGCATGTGCAATAAATAAACCGACAAAGTTACTAAAGTTTATCATAAAATGTTGGCAAAGACTAACAGGAAATTCATAATATATTAAACCACGTCTATGGAGGTCATCCGTCGAAAGAAAACAGCTTTTACACAACGATCAAGCATTTTGGTAACAGCCACGAATACTGCTATGATCTGTTTGACTAGAATAATCCTTGATCTCCTGTTTTGATAGAAACAACGAACTTGTAGAACCTCATATATTTTCTAACAGCTGATTAATTGCCTAAATAATTTCAAATAAATCAACTTTGAGAAAATCTTCTGGGGATACTATTCTGGTGAATCATTGAAATCCACGAGGCTGCCAAAAATATAACTTTAAAGGATTCCAAGAAGGTTTTCAACAATAAAAACATAAATAGGACTAGTCTATTATCATACGCGAGGAGTACTTTGCAGTAGTTCCTTTAACTTTGTAGAATAAACTTCTGAAGGTGTGGGTTTGTGGAGATTGTAGGAATTTTAATAGTTGAATTCATGAGTCGATATAAGTTAGACCACAATCGAAAACCTGAAGGTACTGGACAGTCGTTTCGTCTTAGTATGGGACTCTTCAGCAGTGAGTACCCACGATCCTACGCGTGGTACTCGAACCCATGACCTTTGGTCTCACGCGTGGACTCTTAACCTCTAGACCACTGAGCCAGCATCCAACGGTGTTGATGCCTAACTCCAATCAATCTACGGTCTTGCGTAACCCTTCATCTATTAAGATTAATACAAACTCTATAAACCCTTTTTCTGACAGTAATCATGTGCTCAGTAGTGACTAGCTTCAAGATGGATTTCCCGAAGTTATCGTTAGCAACCATGACTAGTGGAGATAGTTATTATTGTACTATAATATAACTAATCTCCATAATTCATTCATTAAAAAATAACTTACAAATATTCAGACCATCTTTTCATAACAAGTAAAGACAACAAAATAAAACTATTTTTAATTAACTTCATTGACGAAAAAAAACGATATAAATTTAATCTGTTTAATTACAAAAAAGGAGGACAAAAAAGAAAGAGAAGGATTAATCAAAAGTGAAATTTTTTTAGCAAATTTACTCCAGATGTATTGTTAATTGGAAAAATCACATAATATTGTTTACTGATTAGTAACAGACATATATATGTATATATAATCATGAAGTGGTAGATGAAGAATTAGCGGTAAAAGTGGTGATATTTGTAGTCACTTGTTAAAGTGATGTCTTCATCTAAATGAAATGTATATATACATAAAAAGAAAGTACAACTGTGGTCTGTAGAAGATATACAAATATGTACAAACATATATAAAAATTATTTTAATTTGTTAAACACGTGAATTAATTGATAGAACTTTTGTTTCCAAGGAAAATTACACAAATGTCTTTGTATGCTAATCTGATGAATTCATACTACACAAAGATCATTTCTTCAATACTCTTCGTTTTTTTGTTCATTTCTAATCCCCTACTCTTATGTTGTTGTTGTTGGTGGTGATGTTGCTTTTTTCACTTATTTCTTTACTATAAACTAATTAAAATCATCTGGTCTTTAATTTGTACAAACATGTAGGTGTATAAACATTTTGATATTCATGTTTTCAAGAGAATATATAGACATCGATTTAAATATTATTACCTAATTTACAGTCACCATGATGATGATGCGATAAAAACACTTAATTAGTTCAGACATTTACTTGTTGTTAGTCTCCACACATAAAAAAAATACAAGAAATATAAAGTAATAACCACTACTGATACTTCTAATAATGATAATAATAAACAAGTTATAACAATCTTTAGTTAGTTTATTTTCAACACAAAAAACGAGATATTTATCAACATAACAATTTCAACATTAACTGGACTGACATTATCCAAACATGCTGTGAAATTTCACAGATTTATGTTATATCTTCCTTTCATTTTCTGTTTGTTTGTGTGTGTGTTTAGGTATAACAGATAAGTTTCTAACTATTATTAACTATAGTGAGTTTTTTAAGAAAAGTAAGATAGTTAGATAGATAGATGGATACGAAATTAAATTGAATATGTATATATAATTCAAACAAACATTTGGTTAATAGTCTACAAATTATCTTTGAATGAAATCAAAATGAATTTAGAAAAAAAAAGTTGGAATTGAATAGAGGAGAAATTATCACTGATAATAATAATGATCATTTTTTTATTGTTGTTGTTGTGGTTGTTGTCGTCATCGAAAAAAATGTTTATTTATTTATTAATTTGATATAAATTACTAATTTGCAATGAAATGTATTAATTAATAATCACAGCTGGTTACATTAATCAATGAATTGAACTGATATTGTCCAAGTTTATAATTTTCACTGGAATGAAACAAAAAGTTGTTTGATTATTATATTTTAATAGTTGAGATCATAAGTCAATTAAAAGCTAGACCACCATGGAAAATTTGGAAACATTGGATGACTGTTTCATCCTATTGTGACACTACTCAGCAATGCGCATTCACGATCCCGCCTCGCAAGATTCGAAAATAGTTTTATGTTGACAAACTTATTGTTAGGATTCATTGAGAATTCCTTGATGAGATCTTCATAAATTAGGTAAAGTCTTGGAAATTTTTGTGCAGTCAACATCTATTAGAAACTTTCTAGAAATTTCTATGGGAATATGACGGGTTATATGTCATACTAATCGTAAATTTATCTATTTTGTAATTAATTCTTGATTACTTTCAAAAGTTATGAGGATATCGAGGTTAAGCATAGACCTGTGAACATTCTTGTTTCCTGTTGACTGACGTTGAAGTAGAGTTTCTCTTCTCATTTTATACTTTTATTCCGTTGTTCAGGGCTCAAGTGTAAAAAATTCTAGAAATGTAGAAAGTCAATATTAGTCATTCAAGCATCAGACTTTCATAAATTATAATGTTCTTTTCTGAAAATGAAAACAATTTAAAAAGTTATCGGATGTTGTTTGGTTAGTGCATTACATCAATTCAAAATGTCAATTTATTTCCAACTAATCCGCTGAAATATTATTCCAACAATTCACAACAAATAACAAAACAAGAATCGATCTAACTTCCTTACATCCAAAGGGTTGCTTGTGATTATCATTAGAAATATCAAGTTAACTGGTGATTTTTAAATAAACTGAAACATTGATTCTGGCTGGTCCACTGCTAGAGAAAAAAAGACAATCATGTATTCTAGTGTGTTGAGTAGATTATATTATAAATTTTGAAGAATATTTTAAGTTCATTCAAAACAACTAATTAAGTGCTGATCTAATGAGTCCCACGTGTGTGACCATGGATACGCACTGCTGAAGAGTCCCATACTAGGATGAAACGACTATCCAGTACTTCCAGATTTTCGATGGTAGTTTAGCTCAAATCGACTCATGAATTCAACTATAATAAATGTACAATAAGGTGTAAGGAAATTAAGAAGTAATCTTGAACTATGAACTGTTTTTTAAGCCTTAAAATTTATTAACTTTACTGTAAATACACGAAAGTGGAAATAAAATCAGTTAATAGAATGTTAATACTAACGATGTTCACTTCCGATGGCTTTTTTACGGAGAAAAAGACCAACAACATTTATGACATTCTTTTAAATAATCATTATCCTTTCTTACGTCTTTAGTAAATATTGTAATACAAACTGATTGGATAAACTGATTTTTCATTTAAATATGAAGTTATTAAGTAAAATTGAAAAAAGACCTTGGTATTGAGCTTAACTTAAAATATTTCAACATGGTATTCTTAAATTTATTGATTAGAATATTACTATGTTGTGTCTCTTCATTGCATCTTTAGTTATTATTCTTGATTGATTGAGTTTAAAAGTGTACTTTATGAGAGAGTTGAATATATCATGTAATAAATGACTGTCAAATTTAATTTGAATTATCCTTCATTCAACTTAATTGATACGTTTGTCTAAACGTAATTGAATGGATCGATTTCAATCATATTTCAAAGATCAAAGATCATATTGATCTCTATTTTTTGCCATTGATCAATGTTGGTTTAAATATATAACAGAGCATGAATTCTTTCAAAATTACAGATGCGTTTGTGTAGGAATTGTGAAAAAATAAAAATTCCGTCTTAATGATTCTGCATGCATAGTATCAAAGGTGTGTAGGTTGTTGGAGACAAAATCATTTGATTTGAAATAAGCTATTATACTTGTAGATAATATTGGACACTTGTTTTAATTAAAAGTCACCACCTTAAATAAATTTGTACCGCAATAATTATTAGAACCTCCCCCCCCCAAATAAAACATCCAAACCATTGTTTTATAGACTAGGACTCCAATGATAATATGAACTGTGTAGTTATTTACTTAAAATAGTCGAATGTACATCTTTCACGAATAATAATAATAGAATAAAGGTGAGATTCACGAAATTTCAAATATTTGTCACATATGATTAGAAAAACTTGAGGTCTTTCTATTGAAATTTCAGTACAAACTAGTCAGACGAGAGTCATCAAGTAGATTCGATTATTTCATTAATTCTTCAAATTTAGATTATGTGACAAGGAATAAAGGTTGGATGAAAATATGATGGTTTACCCCTCCCTACAAATTGTTTAAAATACTGAACATAGATTAAAAAGAAAAGAGTATAAAATTTAGTTATAGCCCTCTTATAACCGCTTTGTTGTTTCTCAATTCATACTCCCACCCTATCATATCCCATCCCCATATTATGATTTGTTTTCATTTTATTTTGATTTCATATTTACCTTTTATAGAAGATCAATTCTCTGATCAATCAATTGAATCCAAATCCAAATTATTACATGAATCAAAATTACAAAATACAACTGTCCAATCTATAAATATTAATCCATCTTTTATAACATCGAAACAAAATTCATCATTTTCATTCAATCAAATTACACAATTAAAAAATTCCACATTTAATCATCAAATTATTCAATCAACAAATAATGTACATACAATCAATGATTGTCATACAAAAACATGTAAACGTAGATTAACTGATAAAACTTTACAAACAACTAATCAAAATTATATGAAAATTAAACGTTCACGTGAAATTAACAATTTGCCTTATTCTTTATTATCAACTAAATTATCTAGAGAAAATATAAAGATTAATGTTGAAACAGACGAATTTTCAAATAGACCTAATCAACAACATGATCATCATCATCCTCATCAAGAACAACAAGTACCATATAACAGAATATTTGAATTTAATAACATTCAAAATGAAGTTGATTCATGTTTGTTAAATCATAAATCTCATACAGAGTTAATCAATAATCTCTGTACAGACTCAAATCAAAGTGATAATCATAATGATAATGATAATTGTCTGTATGATCTTGATGATGAAGATGATGCTGATGTGGAAGACCAAGAGGATGATGATGATGATGAAAATGAAAAAAGTGGGGGAAATGACATAGACGATAATGAAAGTGATTCAGATAATGATTATGAATTTAAAAAATGTTCGAAATCTACTACTAACAAAAATAATAATAGTAATGTAAATGATTCAAATATGAAACCAAGACGTGCAAGAACTGCTTTCACTTATGAACAGTTAGTTACATTAGAGAATAAATTTAAAATGACAAGATATTTATCAGTATGTGAACGTTTAAATCTTGCTTTATCATTAAATCTTACAGAAACACAAGTAAAAATATGGTTTCAAAATAGGCGCACAAAATGGAAAAAACAAAATCCTGGTAAAGATGTTAATATGCAGAATGATAAGTCATTCATTTCTAAAGTAATGATACCATCTACTTCATCATTATCATCAACAGTGACTACAGTTTCAATGCCAAGTATATTTTCATCTGTTTCATCTATACCATCTGTTCAGTCCTTAGGTATTCATCGTCGTCGTCATCACCATCATCATCATTTACAACAAAATCAACCAGAAATGGAAGCTTTTTCACAGTTATCTAAATTGTACTATGAAACATCATTGTCTAACAAATCAATACCAAAAGAAATGTCCACATTAGAATTCTTACGAACAATGAATTATTTAATGAATAATAATTCACTTAGTTCATCAACAGTAAATAATAAAGAGTCCCCAGAATATAAAGTAAATAATGATTCATTGAAACAAACAATTTCATTAGATTTAAATAAATATTCTAGTCTTTTAGAATATTATCAACAAATATGGTCATCTTTAAATAATCAAACTAATAACTTTATACAGAATCATTCAAATCCACAATTGAACAATGAAAGATCTACTAATGATATTAAACATTCAATTAATTCAATAAATATACCTACATCTGAATTTTACTCTGATAATCTTAAGTCAATTATAGATAATAAAGTATTATATAATAAAGATATATCCCAACAAATCGATATTATTAATAATAATAATAATCACAATCATAATAATAAGTCTATTCTGACTAATATTAATGAATCTTGTCTAGATTATAATAAAAACGAATTACATAATCCTATAAAAAATAATTTCAATGAATCTATTAAATCATCATTATCTACAAATATATATCCAACTTTATTTAGACCAATATCTACTCATGAAACTAAAATATCGTCATCCTCATCATCATTATCATCACCATCATTATTATCATCATCTTCATTAAAATGGGATCACATTGAAATGATACCGAATTCTATTGAACATAATGAAATAAATCGAATACATAATCAAAATAATATATTAAATAATGAACAAAATGATATGATGATATGGAATAAGAATTCAATGACAGCAGCTGCTGCTTATGCCATGTTAACAACTTCATTTGAACAAACAAATTTTAAGCAATATTTAAATCAATGGACAGAGAAAAATGAATTATTTAATTCATTGTCAAATAATCATAATCATAATAATAATCGAATATTATCAACGGAAATAAATTCTAAAAATGTAGAATTATCGACAATAAAACAATTCAGTAATAATAATAATAATAATAACAATGATCCTGATGATATTGATAATCCACATTGTACTTCAACAAGTCCATCAGGTTTACAACATTCTACAACATCTTCATCAACTTCATCACCTCATACAACAACTCATTTATTTCATGTTGAACAACAATCATCACCAGATGATTTAATTAATAAATTAAATGATAATTTAAACAATCATAATCCTATTCAATCGATCCATTGAATATTATAAATTCATTTAAACATTAATCTATTCTTTTCTATTCACTCCTTCTTTTCTTTTTTTCTGTTTTGTTCTCTCTCTTTTTTAAAAAAAAAATCATTCTCATAAAGTGTAAAATAAAAATGATTATGAATTTTATTTACCTTTATGAATAGTTGGCATTTAATTTGTCAAATCAAATGAATATCAGACAATTTATCGAGTATAGTCTTGGAACACTAGTTATTATTATTGAAGTTTTGTCTTGGAAGTGTTAATGTTTTCTAATTTATGATTGATAGAATAAATATTTAAAACGTGTATATTACTAATAAAATGTTTTTATCTGATATATATATATATATTTTTTTCTTAATGGCCCGTGGATCTGACTCCAATTAGATCGTATGAATGTTTGTTATCGCCTATCCTCGTATATGATCATCGACTTAAATCGCATTAGTCAATAACGGATTTAGATAAGTCAAATAACGCGAATGGACTTTTGAATACATATATTTTGTATATAAAGTGAATGGAATAGAACGAAGCAAGACGACGCGCAGTGGAGATGGCGGGTAAGCCAACTCCTATTTAACCAAGCGTTAATCGATATTTATAGTTACACAAAAGTAAGTTACAGACATGTGATGAGTAATGGGATAAGAAATGTACACACACCTACGCGCTCATATAAAAACAGTCAAGACTGATAAGCGAATAAATAACAAGGTCAGAATGTGACTCAAGTAGAATGAATCGAATGGGCTGTCCGAAAGGTAGAATAAGGTATATGGGCTTAACATAATAACCGACACTACCGTATATATATATATATCCAGTATTAATGATTACTAAAGTTCAATATGATACATTGATTGAAAGTGAAACTACGAAATAATAAACGTTGATTTAGTAATTGGATGTTATAATGTGCTCATTAGTGAATAGCTCCAAGATGGATTTTCTGGAGTCTAGTGAGAAGTCATGACCAGTAGAGTTCAACCGTGTCTGATATGGGGCAGTTACTCACTGAAGACAATATTGGATGGTTGCGCAATATCGCGGATTAGTTGGAGTTAGACATCAACACCGTTGAATTTCAGCTCAGTGGTCTAGAGATTAATTGTTCGAGCGTGAGGTCAAAGGTCCTGAATTTGAGCCTCCTTGTGTGGGATCGTGGATGTGCACTGCCGAAGAATTCCATACTAGGACAAAACGGTTGTCTAATGCTTCCAGGTTTCCAGCAGTGGTCTAACATTGATCTATTTAAGATCTCAATGAAACTCAACAATTTCAACAACCTATACCAATCATTATGTAATCATTGCAAAATTTCGAAGTACGAACTTCCATTTTCTGCTGTTATTTTTTATTATTGTAGATGTGGTGTGTAATTCAGCCCATTTCACAAGTAAATGGCTATCAGGAATCAGTAGCCAAGTGGATAACACGATGGTGTTTAAAGCGAACATTACTGGACTCGAGTCCCGAAGTGAATATCATCTCTGGGATGCAGGTACATCCAGATGACAAGTCCAAAATAGAGCGAAACGTGCATATTGGGCTCCACTGCTAACCACCATGCATCCTTGTTTATAATGCTTGTGATGTGTACTGTTTAGAATTTTAAAAGTGAGGGAATATAACTGTTCATAACTTCTCGATTTCATTGATTCTTTAGCTAACATCACTCTATGGTTAAAGTACACATACAGAACATGAGTTAGTAGGCTTAATCTTAAGTAAAAGACTATAACAAAAATATAATCGTACAATGGTAGTTACGTAAATACTGTAAGCAAGTGAAGTATGACGGGATCTAATTAAGTCAAGTCTACGACATAGATATTTTCCTTATGATAACTGTGATAACTGAGGGAATCTATTACTTAGAGTAAGTAAAACACTGAGCTTCGAGAAGACATATGGAAAAATACGAAGAATTTCATGCAATTGTTTTCATTTATGAATTTGAATAGAGCCAAAACAACAACTGATGCAGAATAATATGAATTCATCATATTTCCCGGTTTCTCATCAGACGCTTACAACTATATATGTATTAAAAGATAGCATTAAGGTAAGATATAATATGAAACGATTGAAATAGATGAACGAAAATAATTAGAATGATAGTGGTTATCAACAATAACTACATATATTCAGACAGGGGTTTTGTGGATATTATAGTAATTTAATAATTAAATTCATGAGTCAACTGAAGCTAGACCACCATGGAAAACCTGTAAGCACTTCGGATCTCACGAAGCGGGATCGTGGATGCAAACTACTGAGGAGCCTCATACTAGGACGAAACGACCATCCAGTGCTTCCAGGTTTTCTATGATGATCTAGCTTCAATTGACTCATGAATCCAACTATTAAATAACTACACATAAATTCAAGAACAGGTTAGAGGTTATTTGAAGATGGAATTTAAAAAACATAGGTGGTGGGTGATTCATTTATTAAATGAAGTCCAGAAGCAGATAAGATAGATTGTGTAATAATTTTAGAGGTTATGAAAGTTTTTTATACGATTATACAATGACTGAACGGAATTTCATGAGTCCACATAAGTAAAGAGAATAAACTGAATGAAAACGTATTAGTGAAGGGATAGTTTTAGTATACATAAAATAAGAATTGGTTAAGGGAAGACCGCATAATAAAATAATGATAATGTCAAAAAATAATTTATCAAGGTAGTGATAAGTTGATCATTATCTCTTTCTGAATACATAAATCAGGTTTGAGTCTCTCCATTGTTTATGTTTTGGCAAACCGAGGAGACGCTGCGTTGTTTTTATGTTCTAATAATTTTGAAGGCTTGTGGAATGTCTATGGTATGCCCGGTATATATACATATATATGTTTTACTGATAGTTAACGATTAGTTAACAAATATCGAATATAACTGAAATAGGCGAAATACAAATTGGGATTTACAAAGAATTACTGCAAAGCTCATGTTACACGTTATACTAAACGAACTTCACATTGAGTTAATATAAATGATATTATACTGAAGTTCATAAAGTTATACACTGAATATTATGCTGAATAAAAAGCAAACTTGTTGAAAAATGTGATTTCATGTTTTATCTCTGTCCTACAAGTAACTAAATTATGCATATCTATATCTCATTCCGAATTTTTCAGACTGAATAAAGTTGAGATATTAAAATTTAAATGCAACATTATAACTATGCCTGAAATCCGAAACTACCTTTTTTTGGGTACTCCTGACTGGCTAATTTCTTGCTTAAACTGTGATATCATTAGGATTTTCAACTGTTAGCACATAACTTTTCTTAGAATACAATCATTCATTTGACTCAGTAACGTTTATAAGTAAGAAAATCAAACTCAACAAGAAAAGAAACATCTTTTTTCAAAATAACTTACCAATAAAATCCATTAAAAAATCTTCCATAGGTTTTACTTTTATAGATTGTTAGTAGTAATATCTGTTTGCAATGAAACCCAGGTCACTTTGTTGGACGAGATAAAAGATGAGTGTCTGTTAACACCCTAAACGTTCTTATGCAGTTAACTTTGGTCATAGATAATGTTGGTTACTCTGCAGCGAATCTTTTAACCAGATTTTATTACCTTCTGGTACTTATCAGCTGGACATTTCCTCAAACTCATGTTTTTTTGGAGATCACGACTGTCATCACTCAGTATTATGGTTACTCTATACTAACATTGAGTTATGGATTCAAATATGGTGACATGTTAAAAAACAATATCAGCTACAATCGTTCAAGGCGTAAACCAATGGAAGATACATTTGTTCAGCCCTTCGATCGTTTTGAATCGATAGGAAAGAGTCCATTGTGACACCATGAAGGAAGTATATAAAAACATGAAGGAGACTTTGGAAGTAATGGCAATACTGTACTTTACCGACGGCCTTGAGTGACTAACCAAGTCAACCGATGCGCGAATTCGAAATGCTGTTACGAATAGCTTGTTACGAAAATTCATGATTTTCATTATATCTCGTATTTCGAAATAATTAGATGATAGTTTCCTTGTGGAATGAGCAGTCAATGTAAGTATACTTGGGTTAGGAGTGTTTATATTAGAAGTGCTAGGGTTGGAGGGTAGAGTTTAGGAGTTCTAGCGTTAGGAGTCAAAGTTAAGGTTAAGAATATGTGTTAAGAGCCAATGACAAGAAGTATAAGGATTAAGTCATTTTTAGGTTAGGAGCTAGAGTTGAGACGTTTTAGAAGTAAGAAGTATTAACACTAGAAGCTAGGGTTTATGAGTTAGGTTTTAAAAGGTATAAAGCTAAGAATCAGGGTCTATCCTGATCACAGGATTTTGGTAACAAGCCTGAATTATAAATATTTATCACTAACAAGTTCACTAATGATTTTAAAACTCCTTATCCCTTTTACTTCTATCACTTTTCTATATTTTAGGGCTCTTACACGAAAGCTGTCTTGCTGAAAAACTTACTCATCCTTATACAAATACTGTTTATAACATACTTTGAGAAGCAATCGTCCTTTTTGTATGTAATTAGTGACTAACCCTCAAGAAGATCGTGTTATGTAGTGAAGGTCTAGATGTGGCAGAGAAATCTTCATTCTGATAACCATATCCATGAAAGTTATTAAATCATTGTCTCAAAATATTTTTCGTCAACCCATTAACAAATGAACACATAATCACAATAAATCTACGTAGAATCATGTCTAAAAATATTTATGGTCTTATTAAGGACCCACAGAAAAACTGATTTGCATTCTTACTGATAGATTTTCACGTCAAAATATAGTATGATTTTTATATCAAAAATAAGTGAAGAATAATATCGTTTTCATAGTGACACCTGAAAGTTCTAATCACAATCTTGTTTATGATTGTCGAGTTCATACTTCTGAGAAGTTCCGAAACTAGAATAAATCATCAATCCGATTCACTATAATATTCACTAGTTCTTCAACTTATAAAAGTTTACAAAAACAACTATGTGTTAAAAATGCACAGATCTCAACAAAACACTTAGCTTAGAACTATTATTATTATTATTACTATTATTATTATTATTATTATTATTATTATTATTATTATTATTATTGCGTAATAACCACCTTTCAGCACAAATGAGTAAACAATAAGTATAATTAATGTTGTTTATTGTCAACTATAAATTGAAAATATTTATTAGAGGAATTTAATTCCATTCTAATTAGAGAATCTTATAATAATAATAATAATTGTATGATGGAAATGAATTCATTTCTACAATAATTATACTAATAGTCAATAAATGCGCATATGTACATATTTCCAAGAAAACCAAGAAATCCAATTCGAAATTC